ATTGGCCTAATAGTAATAACATATATTAATTATATTAATGTTATATGTTAATTGTAATACTTGTAATATTTAATATTGATATATTGTTTATACATTTTATGTAACATATATTTTAATATTAATATGTATTATTAATATTATATTAAATGAATATATTTAATATGTATTTTAATCTAATTAATGAATTACAATATTTATCTAGTTAGTTGTTTTGTGGTTAATTTGACCTTGGCATGTGAAGTGTGAGACTTCTCCGTTATGACTCGAATGAGTCGATGTCAAAGTGTTGCAGAGATTGTTTGAGAAATGTTTGAGGTCATGTCAAGATCTGTGACGTTTGATTTCAGATTCTGGTTTCTTGGAGAATTTGAGCAGGTAGTGAGATGACTGGTATATGGAGGAACAGAGACTTTAGCAGACGTCTTCATGAATGTCGTTGCTGTATGTGTTTTTGAGAATTTCTCCCTGTTCTTCAGCAGGAGCTCCAGTATCTGGATGATAGCGTCAGGCAAATGTTCCCAGCAGTGCCGATGAAAACACATGAGCCATAAGTTTTGCCTGACTTTGGCACGCGGATCTATTTATCCGGTAACTGAATCAATTTGCTCTTCATTGTGCTGTGACCTCTGGGGCTTCGGCTCGATGCAGTCGCCACAACACTCCCAAAGTCACCCGCACGCTTACTGCAGATCTGCTTTCACGTCCATCTGAGCCGCTTCACTGCTGAAACACACATTTACACACACTGACTTCTGCTAGCATTTCACTTCATGCCTCTATACATGATGCATAATAATAATAGTAACGATGATATTAATAACCATTTAAAAAAATAAAAATAAACAATTAACTGTTATTAATATTATATAAACGATTATTATTATTATTACTATTATTCTGCATTGACATTACAATTGTTTTTAAACAATTAAGCACATTTTACAAACAAATTATCTTTACCTTATTAATGCAAAAAAAATCTCATTCATGTTACCGTAATACAGCAATGAAAAAATAATCTTGTCTAGACACAACTTAAATTGAATTTACAAAATATAATTTTCAAAAGATACTACAGTTACATACTTTATTTAACAATTATATTTTTTTAAGAAATGAGAATTTGAGGGTAAAATGTGCTTAATTATAATGAAAATGTGTTGCAATGCAAACTATCATAATTAAGTTTTTTATTTTTATACAAAAATAGTAAATTATTTTAGACTTTAAATCATTATTAAATAATTATTACATTTATCATTAATAAAGTATTAATATACAAATTATTTCTTTCTTTTTTTTTCTTGTATTAGCTTACAATCATTGTGTGTATTATGAATTATAATATTTATACTGCATTTTTATTATTATTCATTTTTATTATTCATTTGTAAAAAAAAAAAAAAGAAAAAAAAAAGAAAAAAACCAACATGTTTACAAACATGTATTAAAAACATTTAAATAAAATATATAGTTAGTGGTAAAGTTGACCTAATAATAACAATAATAATAATAATAATAATAATAATAATAATAATAACATGCATGAAATATACTAATGTTGCTGATTTATTTATTTATATATATATATATAATTATTATTATTTATTTTTTTTTTATCCTAGCTGAAGAAGAGTAAAATGGGTGCGGGACGTGCACCTCACTCTCCTCCCATCATGCGTGTGCTTCTGAAAGCGTGCGCCACGCTCTTCCTGTGCCCCGATGAAGCCTTTTGCACACTGTTTTTCATCACGCTTCCACCATCTCCCGATTTACCCTGCACCATGATGCTCGGCCATCTGTCGCACGCTGACCGTTTCCCATGCCAGTGTTTTAGAGGGGCCCCGAGAAAACCGGCTACATTTAGACTCTTATTAGTGCGCGCTCAAGTGCGCGACACACTACGATACATCACAGGCCCTCGTACGGCCCGCTGTCCTCTCCTCACACAGAGGCTAATGTACTGGCACGTCTCCCCGGAGGGCTAGCGCTGGCGTTAGCTCACAGCTATGCTATATTCAGCCTGATTAATGAAGCGTCTGACGGAGGGAGCACGTGTGCGCCGAATAAATGTCGTATATTAAAAAAATTCCCAGCATGGGGCACTGGCTCGTTTTGGCAGCCGAAGTGGAGAGGGCGCCGTGCGGCCCACCCTCCCTGCCCCGAGGCCTTGTGGGACCTCTTGCAGCACTCAGCGGTTATGATTGGGTAGTCTCGAATTAAAGCATCCCGTCAGGACGAGGAATCATGTCCGCCCGCTGGCTGGCTGGTTGTCGTGGAAACCACGTCCCGAAGGAGTCTGAGGCTCGTCTATGGGCAGGGAGAGAGGGAGAATGAGATGAGAGATAAAGGACAAAAAACTCGCTAGAGCACGTTTCTGACAGCGCTACACGAGCGTGAAAATTATGCATTAGCGATAAATTGAGGAACTTAGAAAGTCCTTGGACATTTTTAAAGTGAGGGCACTTGGTTTTGAGTATTTATGTAATGTGTCTGAAATTATAATATGACACAGTTATGCATTGTAGCATGCAACAGGATCTCAGGTTTACTGTTAGTGTTACTGTTTACTATTGCGTTAGCGATTAATTAGCGGAAATAGAAATTCGTTGGACATTTTAAAAGTGAGGACTTTCGTTATTTTGTTTTTGCATTTTAAAATGAGTCTGCAATCCATGACATGACATAATATGACATAATATTTTTAATAGTACCGCAACAGGATCTCAAAATTGCGTTAGTGTCGCATTAGCGATAAATTAGCAAAAGTAAAAATTTGTTTTAAAAGCCACGACAATTGACTTTGTGTATTTTTGTATTGCAAAATGTGTCTGACACAGTTATGCATTGTAACGTGGAAGAGGATCTCAAGTTTACTGTTAGTTTATGTTACTGTTGCGTTAGCGATTAATTAGCGGAAATATTAATTTTTTGGACATTTTTAAAAGTGAGGACTTTTGTGATTTTTTGTTTTTGCATTTTAAAATGAGTCTGCAATCCATAACATGACATATGACATAATGTTCATAACTGTAGTTAACTGAGGATCTCAAAGTTTTGTTATTGTTGCATTAGCGATAAATTAGCAAAAGTAAAAATTTGTTTTAAAAGACAGTTGACTTTTGAGTTGTAGCACAGCAGGATTTCCATGTTTTGTTACTGTTAGCAATAAATTAGCGAAATTACAAATTTGTTTTAAAAGCAAGTACTCTTGACTTTGTGTGTTTTTGTGTTCCAAAATGTGTCTGCAATTCATAATGACACAAGAAGTGTGCATTGTATCGAAACATGAGTGCAAAGCCTCTTCACTGTTGTGTTTGCGATAGATTCGAGAAAGTGACATTTCGATATTCATTTTAAAACACTGGACATTTGATTTTGTGTTTGTGCTTTCTAAAATGTGTTTGCAATTCATAATACAACACAAGTATGAATTGTAGCGCAGTAAGAGGTCAAGTTCCTGTTACTGATGTGTCTGCGATAAACTAGTGACAATGGCCATTTGTTAAATATTTCAAAAGCGAGGGCACTTGATTTTGTGTTTTTGTGTGCTGAAAAGGGTCTGCAATTTATAATACGATGCAAGTATGCATTGTATTACAACAGGACCTCAACGTTTTTTTGCTGATGTATTCGCGATAAACTAGCGAAAAATGGCATTTCATTGAACGAAGCGACGATGCTTGTTTTTGTGTGTCCATGTTCTGTAATGTGTCTGCTATTCATAATATTGCACAGTTATGCATTGCATCACAACAGGAGCTCAAAGCCGTGTTACTCTTGTGTTTGCGATAAATTAGCGAAAGTGGCATTTCAGTTACAAAGCAAGGATGCTTATTTGTGTGTTAGTTTTGCGTTAAAAATCACAAGTATGCATTGTAGCGCAACAGGAGCTCAAAGTCCTAAATTAGCAAAACATAGCAATTCGTTAACCTTTTTATAAAGCAAGGATGCTTAATTATTTAACTTCTGAAATGTTTTTGCAATTCATAATACAACACAAGAAGTATGCGTTGAAGCTCAACAGAATCTCAGAGTTTCTTTACTGTTGTTAGCGATAAACTAGCAACAAATTTTCATTGAACATTTAAAAGCGAGGAAGTTTGATTTAGTGTGTTTTTGTGTTACAATATGTGTCTGCAATTCATAATGCGACACAAATATGCATTGTTGCGCAACAGAATTTCTCAATCTCAAAATCTCATTACTGTGTGTGCGTTAAACTAGCAAAAATGGCATTTCGTTGAACATTTCGAAACATTGGACGCTTGATTTTGTGTTGCATTCTAAAATGAGTCTGCATAATACAAAATAATTATGAATTGCATGGTAACTGCATCTCAAAGTTTCGTTATGGTGTTTGCAGTAAACTAGCAAAAGTGCAATTTCGTTGAGCATTTTAAAACATTCAGTGATTAATTTTGTATTTTAAAGTAAGTGTGTAGTGTCATAATATGATGCTAGTATGCAATGTAGCACAACAGGAGTCCTGTTACTGTTGTGTTTGCGATAAACTAGCAAAATTTTTCATAGAACATTTTAAAAGCAAGAACATTTGATTTGATGTTTTTGTATTCCAAAAAGTGTCTGCAGCACAACAGGAGCTCAAAGTCCTGTTAATGTTGTGTTTGCGATAAATTGGCATATAACATGGCAATTTTGTTGAACATTTAAAATAAACAACATTCTTTGCATTCTATAATGCATCTGCAGGATAACAGGAGCTCAAAGTCATGTTAATGTTAATGATAAACTATCAGTTTTGCAGTGTGCTTCTTGTTTTTAACATTAATGCCTGCCCTCATTACACGTGATCACAACTGAAAAAAAAGGTTGGAAATGGTGAAAAGCAGCGTATCGATCGGCTTTTGTGTCGACTAGTAGACGGTCACTCTTGCATCTTCAGAAAGCTGCAGTCTTTGCTCTGAACTCAGGAGGGAGAGGTTCATTTATCAGTCCTTTTCATTAGGTTTTCTCTTTCTTTCTCCTCTTTGCTCAAGGTTCTACCGAGGCAGCCGAAGAAAACGCCACTAAAAACAGCCGAAGAATGAAGCAGAAGGAATATTAAAAACAGCAGAGAGGTAAAAACCTTCATGAGATCAAACACTATTTGACCCTATTTACATTCTGTAAAATAAGTTTAAATTTATGGTCTAGGTTTTATGCATATACAGGTGCATCTCAATAAATTAGAATGTCGTGGAAAAGTTCATTTATTTCAGTAATTCAACTCAAATTGTGAAACTCGTGTATTAAATAAATTCAATGCACACAGACTGAAGTAGTTTAAGTCTTTGGTTTTTTTAATTGTGATGATTGTGACTCACATTTAACAAAAACCCACCAATTCACAACAAATTATCAAATTAGAATATGGTGACATGCCAATCAGCTAATCAACTCAAAACACCTGCAAAGGTTTCCTGAGCCTTCAAAATGGTCTCTCAGTTTGGTTCACTAGGCTACACAATCCTTTACGCTGCTTTCCCATTAACTCTGTCGCTTCGGCCTCGTCCTGCAACTTTAAACAACACTGCAGTAAATTAGCTTTATTCAGTTAGCAAAGCTCTGATTAGTAATGGCGGTATTTAAAGAAGCATAAATAAAGCAAGCATCTGGAAGTTATGGATTTCAGCTATTGGCCAAAGCTAGTTATTTTTCATTTTCGTTTACTTGCTGTATTAAAATAACTAAAAATAAAACTAAAACTATATAGACGAATTAAAATGTCAATAAAAAATAAATCTAATATAAATTAATAATAAAAAAAAATAAATACAAATTCAAAATATTAATAAAAACTATATGGAAATATTTTAAAACACTGATAAAATATTTAAAAATAAACATAACATAACATGAAAACAATATAAAAATAAAAACACATTTACAAAAAGAACAAAAAGACATTTTAAAAAACTAATAAAATAATAATAATAAAAAAACAGAAAATATAATACTATAATACATGCAATAGATTGAAATAGAATCTCAAATAACTAATTCTAACTAATAGTAAAATAAGGGTTGATATAATTTCATGGTGTTTGGGAATTAAAGCGCATGTCTTCAGCTAATGGCTTTCAGACAGAGCACCTGTCGTGTTCATGAAGAGGATCGTTTTGCATTCGTGTGATGTTTATAATCAGTCTTTCTCGCCGTTATTGTCACGTACGCCTTTCTGTTTGTGCGTTTGCTTGTGTTCAAGCCCTTAATCATATCTAATCTATCATATATCTTGCTTTCATGATAAAAATCAAATGATGTATGTGATGTTCTGTAATCTAGCGAAAATCCACATTCTTCAGTGTGCCGTTATCTGTGAGAGTGTTTGCAGTGAAGTTCTGATCATATCCGGACTGCAGCGCGTCACGGCTCTGATCCGGCTCTGAATGCTGCAGATCTGCTGTGCCAGACCGAGTTAGAGCCGCTCGAGGGCACAGTGCATTGTGGGCAAATCCTCTTGTGTCCCGGCCGGGTCTGTGCAGGCGTGGGAGCCGCAGACACACGGGCCTGTTTGCTTTGACCCGCCATTGTGTAAACCGACAGGACTATAGTCCTAAACACAAGCTGGAATCAAGATTGGACAGAACGTTTGTTTGTCTGGGGCTCTGTGATAGTATGTTCTAGATTATTTGCTTAAAATGTCAAATTAACCAACATTGTGATTATTGTAATGAAAAATATTTGCAATTTAAAAATTGCTATGCCCTTTTTATATATATATAAAAAAAGTGTGCATTCGGACATTTTTGCACCTCAGTTTTCGCAATGATTAAATATATATATATATATAACAATAAAAATAATTGTTATTTTCATAGTTATTTTATTAGAAATATTATTATCAGTTATTATAAATAATTATTAATTTAGTGAATATTGTGCAAAATATTCATTGATTATTTTTACTAGTTTTTTATTTGACCTTTTAACACGTAATACATATATTTTTTTCTTGTATTATTAATAAGAATAAGAATAAGAATAACAAACATTTAATACACATATGATATAATTGTACACTGTTATACATTTGTATATAATATTATTAATAATAACAGTAATAACAATATTTATTATTATTAATAATAATATTAATAATAATAATTGTATTTCTAATAAAATTATTATTATTATAAATATTATAATAAAATAATATTTTTATTTGTTATTATTATTTATAATAATAATAATACTACTATTAGTATTAATAATAATAATAATTATTATTATTATATAGTTTTGTTGTTGCTTTTGTAAATATATATGCTGTTAATTAGGAAAGATTATAAATATTAATATATTTTATAAAATAATAATAATATTTATTATTATTATTATTAAATGTATCACTAACTTATAAATATCTGTATATATTTAGTAAATATTGTGCGAGACAACACTTGATTTTTTAAATAATATTTTTTATTTTACATTTACATTCATGTAAACAATTCAAATATGTTTTATTTTACGTTTACATACATGTGGGTATGCACATTCATGCATTTGGCAGACACTTTTATACAAAGCAACTTAAAATGCATTCATTTCATTTCCTTTTTAACAAAATTTTTCTGCTTGTATTAAACAGTACAAATCTATTTTGCGACAGTGTCTGTTTGGTTGAAAGTTATGTACACATATATATTAAACATTAGCTGTATCTCCTAGCCTTATGTGTATCTAAGAGAGAGTTCGTAGCTACCTCTTTTTATACACTGAGTGTTTGTATGAGACAAATCTTGTGATATAGAGCGTGAGTGTGTCAGGCTGGAGCAGATATGTGCTGATGAGTTCTTCGCGGTGGCAGGCGGTGTGTTTGCGCTGCAGTGCTGCGGTGTAGCGGCCCTCTGACCTGCTGGGTAAACAACCAGAGAGCCTCTGACTCCAAATAAGGCCGACACATTCACAGCACAGAGCAGCGGCAACCTGCCATCCTCCACACACACACACACACACACACACACACACACGTCTCCTGAGCTCCCCTTTCTTTCCGTTACTGTCTTTCCTGCAGCCCGCCTGCTCTCCTTGCAAGGTGTATGAAATGAAAATCCTGTTATCATTTATTCACCCTCACGTCACTAAACCCTATGAATTCTTTCTTCTGTAAAACACAAAATGAGATATTTGGCAGAATGTTCACGCTGCTCATTTCCAACAAATGTATATTGAGATCAGGGCCATCAAATTTCAGACAGAACCATAAAAATGCACCATAAGTGAGTTTGAAGTGTAGTCCATATGAGTTATACACTACATTTCTGAATATGTATATGAATTGTATTTTAGCAATTCGCATTTGTGCATGTTCAAATCCTGAAACAGGAACATTTTACACCAACAGTGACATCAATAATAGTTGATTACTCCAAGGTCAGGGTAACAAATGTAAACTAAAACTATTGAACATTTTTGTTAGTTGAAATAAAATAAATTATGATTATTAGATGAAAAACTTATTTCAATTAATTGCCAAAAAAGCTATTCTATTTTTTAATAAATAAAAATAAAACTGAAATAAAAATAATAAATAAATGCAATCTAAATTATAATATTTAAAACAAATAAAAACTAATGAAATTTACAAAAGCACATACATTTACTAAAAATGTAACTACAATTAAAGTATAAAAATAAAAGCTAATTTAAAACATGAATAAAAGCTATTTAAATAATACAAAATAACCATGGATTACACTAATTTGAATATATATGTAAGTGACATTTGAAAACTGATATATAATCATAACTAATAGTGTTTTAATAATAGGTCATTCAATATTATAATAATAATTTATTTTGGTCTGTCTCTCAGCTTTTGTATAATGTTTGAAAGCTGGGAATATAGTGCAAGTGATGTATAGATTAATTTAATACTTCATTTTTCCTTTCTGAAGATAAATACAGTTTAGTGCAGTCACTCTATGGTTGTTTTTGTGTGGAAAATAAGGGGGGGGAAATCTGCTCTAAATCTCCTTTTGTGTTCCCTGGAAGATAGAAACCCGTCTGGCTTTGAAACGATGTGAGGGTGAGTGTATTTTTAGGTAAACTATTTCCAAATCCATTCTCCTCCTCTACCTGACATTCCTCTTCTTTCAGTCTCTTTGGCACCGTCTGAAACATATTGCCTCGGTGATTCTGCACCTCAGAATACGCATGTTGTTTGGTTTTCGCTTTTAGTTCTGCTAAATGATTTTGCCTTTTAGTCCTTTAAGAGCTTTTCTGCTGTTATCCTGCAAAGAAAGAGACAGCAGGCATCCCTGAGTGTCGTATTTCACATTGTAGACACGCCCACTTGTTCCACTGACCATTGACTACAGAAAGCACAGTACACCTCTATCCATTTTAGCATTTGAACCTGCTCTCCCTCTGGTCCTGTGAGGGAGGAATGACCTCACCTTTGCATCTTTTGAAAAACAGTCATATTCTCCTTCATTCAAAAGCGACAAGACGGTTACGTTTAATATTTATGATAGCGAACACGAATGACCTCTCCTTTTACTGTGAATATATAGACCCCTTTGTGTGTGTGTGTGAGGACTGTCTGTAATGAATTCATAATCTCTGCAGTGGGTCTTTGTAGATTCCTATCAGGCAGCAGATAAGACAGCACAGTTGCACTCTAATAGCTGTCAGTCTGCGTTCCTTCCTGGCTATGGATCAGTTCACTTTCAGTAGACAAATACACACATATATACACACGCACACACAAGATGGGCTGTGTATTCAGAGGCATGTTCTCTGCACAGTGGATCTAATGATAAAAGCTGCTGCATTTTCTGTCGATGGAGAGACTGTATTTCTGTAGCGTGTTGAAAGGAGGTCCCCCAAGGCTCTGTACGAGGCCCCCTACAATTGTTGCGTTTTCCCCCCAAAACTTGACGAGCATCAGCCCCCATCGTTTTTCTCACTGTCAAACACTCCCAAAGTTTTGAAAGCACCTCAGAAAGGCAAAGTTTTTTTGGTAAGCAGCTTCAAAGTTGCCTCAGAAAAACAACCATTAAATACAGTGCAAATGTCTGTGCCCTGAAGCTACTCATGGAATCTATTAAAAATTATTGTGACTCTAAAC